CCTATCTTCAGGAGAGCCTCTTAGACCCCAGTCAGCTAACCACATCAGGCGCTGGGGCAGCCTCTGGACCATGGCAAGGTGGGCTCTCATCTGTCAGGATCCGGACCCCAGCTGGGAGTGGCCAGAGGGCAAGGCCGGGTGTGGAAGCTGGGGTACTCTCCCCAGCTGCTAACTCCTCAAAGTCGCTGAGGGGACTAGCCTCAGCCTTCACAGGGAATGAGCTGTTATTCATTGAAAAGCGGGTAAGTACACTTGCCTTCACAGGGAATGAGCTGAGAAGAAGGGTAAGCTTCTCAGCCCCCTGTGAGGCCGACACAAAAGGACCCCAGGAACTATACAGTTCCCGCTTGCTGCCGACTTTCCATAACGGGTGTGACCCGTGGGAAAGTTCTGGGTGAGCTGCTTGCCCAGAATGTTCCCACGGTTGTGGCTGTACATTTCTGGGCGAGTCGCTCACCCAGAACGTTCCCACGGGTTCGCACACATGTGTCATTATGTGAAACAGTGGGGGGAAGGATAGGGGGAATGGGGAAATGTGGGGAGAGGGTGGTTAGGGAAAGGGTGAGGGTGTCTGAGGGTGAGTGGGGTCAAGGGCTGTGCCCTGACATCATCCCAGAGGAAATACTGGTCCGTAGACCAGTAACGTGAAAGTGGTTAGTAATAAGCCCAAATGAATAACAAGTACAAGTACTTACCGTCGTGAGTAATCAATATTTGATGTCAAGAGCAATGATCCATATGCTGAAAAGATGCAGTCAGTACTTACCATTGCAAGTAATAAATACTTGACATCAGGAGCAATGATCCATAAACTAACCAGCAATGGCACAGCGCTCCGCCTGAGTCGCTGAGGCCAAGGTCCTTCCACGCTAAGTCTCCGATTCCACTCCGGAGTCGTCCGAATCCGCACGTTCTAACAGACAACCCTGCATGGACGGTTACATTCCGACACCAGGGTCTTCATTCTTTGTTAAAGTCCTGACTCAAATACCTTGCTACCATGTCTGACAAAGACTATGTCAAAGAGAACATTCAACATGCTCTATGCTTCAGGTCATGGCTTCAGGTCACCACTTGATGACCGTGACAATCCTTCTCCCAAAAGAATCCGCGTTGTACATGATGGCTATTCAGGATCAGTTGCTCCATTTCCATTCTCAGTCCGTTCAGAGGTGCCTTACCGTGGTTGTGCTGCACCGGTATCGGCCTCTCCACTTGAAATCAATCTCAATGACCGTGGGGTGAACACACATCGGTATTCCCAGAGTGTGGCTGTAGAAGGCAAAAAAATTTTGGCTTGCGCTTCTTGTAGGTCAACGGAGAAGAAAATCTCGTTGCTTGAGACAGCTCACATTAAGATGATAAATGCCCTACGGGGCCGAGGTGGTCCTTACTGTCATGTGCCGCCAAGGATTCACTCTGGGCCAATTTTTATCAATGATATTTGATGATAAAAATCAACCGTACCTCACACCAAGTTCAAAACAAAGCTTGGCTTTGTTCCTGCAGGGTCACACGTCTATTGGGACCCAGCCTGCAAACGTTGTTCAGCTGATGTTTGATCATCCCTATGGGCAAGAAAAGCCTAAGGACCCACCAATGTTTCAACTGCTGAAGGAGAGAACGAAGGAAGGTCAGTTGGGAGGTTCAAACGAGACCACCACCAAGCTGTTCCCTGGTTCTTTAGTTAGGATGGGGAAGTGTACTAGTATTATTTGTTGTAAATATAGTACCAATCTGAGTGTTTTGGCTAATTCTATTTTTATGGGTTAGTCTAAAGTTTCTGGGAATTGACTTACAGATAAACTGAGCCCTGCGGAGCTGTTCCTTTTATTGAATTTTCTTAATTTGTCTAGGTGTAATTCTGTGTAGCGTTGTTTAATTTGGAATTTAACTTGAATTAAATCTTCTACTTGGTGAAGTTTCAAAGATTCTACTCAGTTAATGGATTTGGATTGTGTCTGGAGTGTCCCTTGAGTTTGTTTTATTTTTGTCTTATTTTATTGCTTGTTTTAACAGTAGCAAAATAACTGTTTTGTGTTTACACTTTGAAATCTGGAGTGTTAACCAGCTCTCCTGTTGAAATATCTACTTAATATTTCTCTCCTTAATTGCTGCCTTTTACTACAGTGGCAATCTTAACTGTATATCACTTTTTTGCACTGGAGTGACAACCAGAAATGCTTGAGAAAAATAATACTCTATTTTCTTACTTCTCTGAGGGGGGCGAAAAGTCGCAGAAAGGGTCTCCCTTTTATACTCCTTGGGTCGCCTTCCTTTTTCACACTCTACCTCGTATTTACAGGATTTATTTACAGTGTATTTTTCTCAAACTGAATAAAAAATGAAAATTTCATGCTATAGTTCTACTGCGCTTTACTGCACTGAACTGCGGCTCTACTGCGGTCAGACTGCGCCTAGAATCCTTATTGTCCTTCCTCGCCTAAGCTATTTAATGGTTAATTAAAACTTGACTGCGCTGCATTTGTCGCAGTTTCCTATTTCAAATTCCTCATATTTACCACTAAATTTGCTATGACTCGGTGATTCTGTAGTTAAAATGAGACTTGAAATGGTAAATGAGTGAATTGTTCAGGTTTAAAACCGAAAGAAAAAGTTGCTAGTAATCAAGAATTACTCAAACGAATGTATTATAGCTCTCCACTTCATTAGAATATCGTTCCCTAAAATTCCTGCCATGGTCCGTCGTAGTTTAGTGGTTTTCGTGGATTTCGTTCATCTTCCCTGATTCCCCCTTGTATTATCACATCCTAATGCTCCATATGTATTGTTCGTTGTTATATTAGGTCGTCCTCGAAGATATCATATTTTTATGTATTTTATTTAGGGCTCTGGACCTCTTGAAGCTGTCTTCCCGCGCGTTATCAGGTTTCTAACTTCATGTCCTTGTATCTCATTCATTTCTGGATGGTTTCTCACGTTCTTGGTATCATAAATTTTCATTTATTCCCACCTTTCCAATGGTACTAAAGTTGTGTTCTATTTCCTGGTATTCGTCGAGTTAGCAAAAGTTCGTGCGCACATTCGGTAATCACGTGTGTCATTCCCATAGTCGTTCATATGCAGGCGCTGTTTCTGTTTAATTGTTCAGGATTTATGATATGCGTGGGTGTTTATATCTTTCATATGGGCTTCTGTGATTTATTTCAGATTTTTCCCTCATGATCTAAGGTTGTTTTGCACTTTCCGTGCTTTGTTTTGACCGGGCTCTTCCTTATTTGGACGGAAATTGGTCTTCGCGATCTGCCGAAGTGCGGATCTCGGTTCCGATGGCCGGTGCCCTTCGCATTGCCACCCTCACATGTCATTAAACATGATGCGGATTTCTATATTCCCGTCATTGGTATAACTTTACAACGGCTGGACCGTTTGGGCTGAAAATTTGCATAACGATAATTTCTTATTTTTCATAATTTCCGTGTAAATTTCGTTGTATATTTTAATTATGGATCCTTCGTAAACATCGTTTTTTCCCTGAGCTCGGACTTTTGATGTCGCTATTCCTGTTATTGGATATCTCGTTAATGCGTGATCCTTTTATTATGAAAATTTGGGTGGATTAAGATTAGATCCCTTCCTTTCTAATGGGCCATCAAGCTCGTCTCGGTCGTTACTGGCTATTCTTCGCGCTTGCTTTTTAAGCGTTGTCCTTGTTTTGCAAGAGTTTTAGTCATATCTCCGTCATTTATGGATAGTTTTCCCTGTAATTACTTTCATTGGGTCCATTTGGGGGACATCTACATTTCCTATTATAAACACGACTTTGAATTTTGCATTAGTTCCTGAGGAATCCTTGTTCCGTGGTACTTCCATCCTTGGCTACGTGTGCGGACGTGGGAAAGTAGTTTCCGTTGAGGCTCTCTGATTGTTTCTATAGTCAAATCTTGGTCGATTGTCCTAATTCTTTCTTTAATATTTGGTATAAATTTCCCCGAGAATTCCGTCTTGTTGATGCTAAGCTTGAAGTATTTTTGCTAATTTTCTTTCTTTCAATTTATCGCATATAGTCATAATAATTCGTAAAAATTCGTAAAAATTCATTAAAATTCAGGTCCTTCTATTTTCTCATATCTACTTGTCGTATGGGGTTTTGTGATTTATCTGGCATATTTCCATAATGGGTTTCCATAGTGTGACCGTTATTTCTCCTACACTGCTCCCCTTCTATGCACAGCCTCTGCCACTCCTTACATCTCTGCCAACAGAAAGCTTGCCTCAACTAGGGGAGATCGCAAATGACTCTGTGCACACTGGATTTGACAAGCGGAGTGTTTGGCAGGGGGTAACGGCACAGAGTAGCCTCCGACAATATTTTGTCCAGCAGGTACTAGAAGAAGTCAATAGAGAGATGAAGTGCCTTACCGAGCACACTTCACTTCGTGCTGGAGATTCAGCTGGGCTTACATGGTCGAAGGTCGCACAATTCTCGTTCACGGAAACCCAAGACCTCATACAATGCACGGCCCCTGTAACATGGTCAGTAATGACAATGGCTGCAATTGGGAAGGTGAATGGACAGCGCCTCAAATCTCTCTATCGAGAAGCGCAATGTGGAATGAGCGGACATGGCTCAAATAATATGCGAGACCCGTGGCTAGTGAGAAGATTATACATTAACTTGATTCGGTCAACATACTTACTCACTTTGCTAGGGCTGCATGGTATCACTGCTGATAATGTTGTACTTCCGCTGTGTCAAGGCAAATATTATGCAAAGTTTCTTCGGAAAAATCTTATTTACAACAAGTGCTCACCGATTGGTCCACACCATACTCAGCCATATGGGTCTGGCTACTGCATACTCCACCACTGTGTGGGGCCTGCACAGTCTGGGTGCTGACAAAAAAATCATATTGAAGGGACTGGGTCGTGCTCTAATAGATGGGCAAATATGACTTCACCTGGTGTACGACAATATTAACCAATATCATAGGGTCTGGAGACCCAGCCTGAATGCAAGAAGCTCCCTGGAGAGCAGGATGGCTGCTACTATTGTGGTGGAGCGAGGTGCAGACCCTGACGTATTCGATGGTCAGGGTTATTACCACAGGCAGTTGGCAGCCGACAAGGAGGAGCTTACGTTCGAGAAGCTCAAGCAAGACCTTGATGCCGGTCATCTAGAGGGCGTTTCCATCGCCAATATTCTTCGGATCTTGGTCGAATACTTGCCTGCACTGGGGAAGTTCAAGAAGGATGTCGACAACCTGCAGCGCGTCAAGTACGCAAAGTGCCACGTGCAGGCTACCAAGATGGAGTATCACCCGCTTGAGTGCACAGGCTTCAATGAGGCTTATACCCAGGGGAATAGGGATGTGGTGCTGGATGCTTTCATGCGGCAGTTGGGAATCAGCTGCCAAGAATTGGAGTCTAGGCAGTTCCCAGTCTCAGGTGATCAATCAACCATCGCACGACTCCACACCCTCCTTGAACAAACATCAACTTGTCGCTCATGGTCCATGTCCCATAAATGGATCTTCCCAGTGGTTGAGCTCTGTCACATGAAGTGGGCATTTCTTAAGGGTGTCTATAAAGCCCATTGGGCTACAAAAACTGGTAAAGGTGACCTTGGCCTCTGCTTCACAGCAGAGCCCTTGGCCACAAGATCAACACTGAAAAGGTCGACTTTTATCCTTGTTTCCGTCTGGCTGAGGTTGTTCTAATGACCATGACACTTCACTATGCAAGGTGCATCTTCCTTTTTTCATCTCTGTCAATTCAATCTGCAGCCTTACACGTTCTTAGGTGTATCCTGTGCGGCCACTCTTCTGCACAGCTCCTTGTGTCATCTGGCCAGGCTGACCGACTTCACCTCCTTGAGGAGCCCCGAGTATATTGCAAACATGGCTTCCCTCTTTATCAGTGCTCATTCAGCTCTCTCGTCTCACTCGCACAGAAAATCTATTCCACTTATGGGACAACAGAGGCTGTGACCTTTGCATGCCTACATGATATACAAGCTGCCACCAATTTTTTCGATTCTTCTATGCCCCAGGGCTTTTCAAATCCCCTGGCCTTTGCGCCTTCGTCTGTGGCATCCAACCCCAACCTCGATGATGGTCTTGCTTTTACTAATGATGACAGTGATACCGAGGAAGATCAAAATCCAAGCAGCAGTATCACTTGGTCAAGTGCAAGTGACCCATCTCATAACATGGGAGATGTTGAGTCAGCCACACAACAGGTGTCATCTAACGGGGATGACAAAGGTGACACCCTGCTTTATAATAACATACTTCTTTACTGTGATCTCCTTCTTCTATACAAGTTTAACTCAAGCATCCATGATGGTGATGCCAGCCGAACGTTTGAGGTGATCAAGGTAAGCAAATTGAATTTATAATCATTACTTTACATCTGACACTTCGTATCAACAGTGGCTCCGTCAAACTACGGCAATGAGCTATTGCACCAGGCATGCGACTTCTGGTGGCATTTGTCACCAGAGGCTTGTTTGACGATTCTGACTTGCTATCTCATTAACCCGTCTGGCCATCCTGGCCATTTTCACAAACGTGATCTGCTGCAGGAGCATCTGAACTTTTGGCTCAAGTGCGTTTTCAATGGCTGCAAGAACGCTTTTGATTCTACATTCCTTTGTGAGGCTGTATTGCTGAACATTGTTGATATGAAGGATCTTTTGCAGAGTTTCATGGGTATGCTTGGGATTGCCCAAGTCAATCCAGGTCGCACACAGGCTGACATTGAGGCTGATATCAATCACCTCGGGATAAGTTCCCTGCAGTACTCTCAACACCTATACATTCCCGAGTGTTCGCAAACTACAGTCTCACTAGATGGCTTTGAATGCGGAGAAGAGAAACTTCGGACCAAGGTCATCTCAAATTTCAATCAAAAACTCTAAGATGGTACCGCTGTTGGTTCTATAGGCCTGCTAAACCCCTTGCTTGCACATACTAATCGCATCTTTTTTGTCCTGGGGGTCCCTAATTTCGGATCTAGCAGAGGGGAAGTCTCTTGGGGGAATTCAAGTCGATTTCAGACTGAGGTTACAAGTTACTAGGTACATTGTATATAAGGAGGGGTCCGGAATCAAAAGGAACAAGGGTAGGACGAAAGGAGACAAAGGGAGATGGAAAGAGGAACAACACCGAGGGTCAAGTGTTTGACTCAATGGTGTTTCCCAAAGGAGGAATGAAGGGCCAAGGCCCAAGGAGGAAGGAAGGAGGATGGGAGTCGGGAATGGCTAGCTGACTGAATAGAAGGAAGCAGCAGCCCAAATAGGAATGAGGGAGAATAGCGGAAATGGACAATGCAATAGTTGCAAGGTCCGGAGTAAGTCCGGAAAGTCCGAACTCGGAAGTTAAACTCCGTCCGAGGTCGGAGCTAAGACCGGAGGTTCCGGAGACGGAGACGCGAACGGGATTCCGGAGCGGAGGTCCGGAGTCGGGAGCATAGGTTTTGCGTACTCGTCTGGAAGGTGTCGAGGTTGGGGTCGGACCCGGAATGTTCCGGAGTCAGACCGAAGGTGGTGTCCGAGCCAGAGGTGGGATAACCTCTTGGGAGTCGGCAAGGAGAAGGTGACGGAGGGGAAGTAGGGCTCCGGAAGTCGGAGTTCGGAGTTCCGGGAGCCCGGAGCGGAGGTCGGGATTGTATGGATATGACATTGTCGGCGTGCAGGCATCAGGTTGTAGTCGGTGATCAGGGTTGGTGTCAGGGACCGACCCAGGGTCGAGAGTGTCCGGGTGTCAGGGCACGCCCGCCTGACCCGGCCCCACCTAACCCGGTGCCCCACCATCCACTCCTCCCAACCTCCCCCCTCTTCCCCTTTTTCTCCCTTCCCTTTCTCCTTCTCCTTCTTTTCTATTCTCTCTCCTCTTTATTCCTTTCTTATCACACGGACGACTTCCTTTGTATCAATGTACCATTGACCCAGCTGCAGCGTAATGCGCCCGAACCCGGACACACCGGACGACCCCCCGCACACCGGACGCTCCTAGGACCTCTTACGGAGGTACCCAGACGGGGGTGGCTGTGTGCTCGGATGACGTGGCGCTTCCCACGTGGCCTTCAACCACATGTATATAAACATAGCCTAAGTGGGAACTGAGAAGCAACCTTCTTCTCACATTTCCCACTTTAGGCAAGTAGCTTACACCTCCCTTGATAATGACAATAACACATTTCCCACTTTAGTCTTAGTGGCCAGGGACCCTTGTCTGCTTCGGGCCCGTTGCTACGCGCGCCCGCGTCATACCTACCGGACCCTCAGCCTTGGGCGATACACCCGGGCGCTCTCGACCCCGGGTCGGTCCCTGACACCGGGTATATCGCCTGGGGCTGAGGGCCCGGTAGGGTGTAGCATGGGCATGCATGTCAGGGCACACCTGCCTGACCCGGCTCCACCTGCCTTCACCCGGTACCCCACTCACCTCCACCGCTCACCCTTCACCATTGTTTCTCACTTCTTGTTCTTTTTTTTGTCCTTCTGTTCTTTTACTCTCTTGCTCTTTCTTCTATCTTTATCTACATGGACGACATTTCCCCTTATCTATGTATTATCGACCTGCCCACGATGCGTGCACGACACACCCAGCCCCGGACGACCCAGACAGCCTCATGGTGCAACCCAGCACACACCCTCAGGATCCCCCACAGGGACACCTGGATGACTGCAGCTGTATGCAGGATGATGTGGCAAACCTCATGTGACCCAAGCCGCATGTACATAAAAGTCCCGAAGAAGTAACCTTCTTCTCACAGTTCCCACTTCAGGTAAGTAGCATAGCTTCCTTTTTAATAACAACTCACAGTTCCCACTTCAGTCTGAGTGGCCAGGGATCATCGTCCCGGATCGGGCCCATCACTATGCATGCCTGCTCTACACCTCGCAACGGCCTCAGTGCCAGGTGTTACACCTGGGCCCCCTCAACCCCGGACGCATCCCTGACAGTGCATAACAACGGGCCCAAGGCAGACAAGGGTCCCTGGCCACTTAGGCTAAAGTGGGAAGTTGTCAGGGCACACACCCTGACTAGCCCGGACCCGGACCCGCATCCGGACCCGCTTCCACCCGCTGCACTTCCCGCATGCGTGCACGCTCCACGTGCCGCATGCTCCGGGCCCGGTTCCTACCCCTTCATGTGACTTCCGGGTATCCCCAGAAGTTTTGCTGATATTGTGGCCACTGTGGGAAGATGAGAAGTTAGCTTCCTTCTCATCTCCTTACCCACAGTAGGCAAGTGTATTCTACATTGCCTTTATCTATTCATCTTCTTACCCACAGTAGTAGGATTGTGCCCTGGATAGGGCTGGCCAGACCAGAGGCTGTGGACCATAGGGGAGGGTCATGGGGACCCGGGAGTCGTCCCCTGACAGAAGTGTGAGAAGAAGGTTACTTCTCAGTTCCCACTTAGGCTGTGTTTATGTACATGCGGTTGGAGGTCACGTGGGGAGCGCCACGTCATCTGCGTGCACAGCTGTGTCTGCCCAGGTATCTCCGTAAGAGATCTCAGGAGCGTTCGGTGTGTAGGGCATCACCCGGTGTGTCCGGGTCCGGGCATGTTGTGCAGCCTGGTTAATGGTACATCGAGCAAGGAAGTCATCCATGTAGTAGAAAAGGAAAGAAGGAGAAAGAAAGGAAAGAAGAAGGAAGAAGAAGGAAAGGAAGAAGGAGAGAAGGGAGGAGGGAGGATGGGGGCACCAGGTGAGGGTAGCAGGATCGGGTGGGGTCGGACCGAGTGGAGTGGGGTCAGGCGGGTGTGCCCTGACAGTTGGACATTCTGGCAAAAAAGTGTTGAGTTGAATTTGTCACCATAATTACCTGTACAATCCCAAACAAGGTGTGGTGGTCATCATAATTACCAAACAACCCAAATCGGGAGTACCAGGTCATCATAATTACATGTACAGTCCAAACAAAGAGTGCTAGGTCATCATAATTACATGTAAAGTCCAAAAAAGGAGTGGGGGTCATCACAATTACGTGTCCAATACAAAAAAAATGAATGCGATCATCAACTCTATTGGTTATGTAATGCTCCCTTGCCCTAAGCGGTGTTTCTATCCCTGACCTCTATTCAGTAGGCCAAGTCGGATCCCAGCCTCTACTTTAGTAGAGGCTGGGAACCTGCCTAAACCAGGCTCTGATCAAGCCACCAAAAGATGTTGTCAAATGTTTTTGCAATCTTCTTTCGAATTGTCATGTCAGGAGTATGGTTGTGTTTGATGGGGTTGCGTAAAAAATGTTGTAAGACAGCAATGGTTGGTTTGACACTTTAGTGCAAGGATACCCAATGTTATAGGAATGGAGTCTCTCACGACCATGTCGACTGAATGTCAACCACAGCGGGTCCCCCTTGTGTACATCCTCCCATCTCTTTCTTACATTCTCCCTGTTCCCCCCTTCTTACACACTCACTCCACGCTAAGCTTTCCCTTATTGGGTTTTGGTGCTGGCTGGATTATTTATTCCATTTCGCGAGACTTCTCACGATCATTCATATTCAATAGTTAGCGTCACGTTCATGTATGGCTACAGCCAAGAAAGATGGAACTTAACAAATAACACACTCCCACCTTCTGTGCAACAACTGTAAACCTCCTTGTGTCAACACTGTAATGTCTGTGTAAGGTTGTATATGTCTTGGTCACCATCTATATGGGTCATCCCTACCGAGGTTGACAACTCTAGCCATGCATCGTCAAGTTTGCATGTGACTCAACTCAGGTATGCATGAACATCTTCTGTTATGATTCATGTTGCTTGCCCAGATACCGGGCTCTCGTCTGTCTCACCACATGGTGAGAATCTGGTTAACTCTATGGACGGATTAGCATTTGATACAAGCCTGTTCTGTTAGATCGGGTGGATTTGGATGACTCTGGAATGGAATTGGAGACTTAGCATGGAAGGACCTTGGCCTCAGCAACTCATGCAGAGCGCTGTGCCATTGCTGGTTGTCCTAGGGGTCCCTAATTTCGGATCTAGCAGAGGGGAAGTCTCTTGGGGGGAAATCAAGTCAATTTCAGACTGAGGTTACAAGTTACTATGTACATTGTATATAAGGAGGGGTCTGGAATCAAAAGGAGCAAGGGCACTCCAAAAGGAGACAAAGGGAGTGTCAGAGTACAGCCCGGTTAAGTCCGGACTGCTTATACACAACTGATGACACACCTGCCCCATACCCGCACAGCCTGATCATCATCCCCGGACTGGCACAGACATTTGTTATATTTCCTTCTGTAGAGCGGCCCCGCTTTGCCAGGTATACTGACTTTATCATTCCCTGGGTAGCGAGTGAGGAAGATAACTTTCTTCTCTCACTTCCCCTCGCTGCTCAGCTGGAATCCCTATCGCAATCCACTTTGCCAGGTTCCCCCATTGAGACTGATCCTGTCCCCCTCGGCCTCAGCTCCAGCAAAGGCTCGGGATCCCTTGACTTAGAGTCTGAGCAGCTCAGTACCCTGACAATATCCATACAACTCCGGACCTCCA